GCAGATTTATAAACTCACTGGCGCGCAGCATTTCAACTTCCACGCACAAAGACCAACCAACTCAGAGCAGTTCCGTCGAACTACATTCTATTTTCCCTGCATGCAAGCAGAAATATATACCGAGAGCTTTCGTCATTTGGATGTATTTCTGATTTAAAATCTGCGAGGTCTCGTTCTTACGTAGCCGTAGGGTTGCGCCATCAGGGAACTGGTAGTCTAGGGAGAGGCAAATTTCTCAGCAATGCAAATCCCATAGAAAGGCTTCCAATATAGACTCGGGGATTTGTGGCAGAGGCAGGACAAAATCACTCTCAAAAATAATTTATTAATACAGAAAGCAAACTAACTATCATTGATCCATTGATTGGTATTATCAAGTATAGTATGAGAAGAGATATATAAATATTCAAGCTGTCCATAAATGAAGATTTCAAACAAACAAATTATGTGAAGAATTCTTGTGAAGTTAAATCAATATATGAATTTATTGTCAAGCCTACATCTGTTTGTAAAAGTTTCATAATCAACTCATAACTCATATAAGAACCAAATAAAGAAATAACTGGATCCAAATTTAAGACCTTGTACTGCATAGGTTCATTGACTGAGGGAAAAATTCAGAATGATAAAACAGATGTCAAAGTCAGTAACAAATCATAGAATAAAAAAAGAGGATATTATTATCAGGATAATGAAAGACATACCTTGCCTAAAAGGATGATCACCAGTCTACTGCTTTTGTGTACGGAATTTGCATGAGTATTTTGGGAGCTTTGATATATGGAGTCCCACAGTCACCAGAAGCAAATCCATCCACAGTTTTGGGAGCCAGGCCAAAGTCCGCTAGCTTGATCTGGTTGTTGGCATTTATAACTATACTGTTGAGCTTGACATCACAATGAATAATATTGTTAGAATGAATGTAATCAAGAGCACTACCTATATCCAATAGAATTGATCTTGCTTTCTTCTCACTGATTTCCTTCCCCTCAATAAACTTAGCTTCATTGTGAATTGATGTGGTTATATCCTTGTCTTCTCAATCAAATCTACAAATAACCTTGATTGCACATAGAGATCCTCCAATTATAGCTTTATGAACTGAACCAAAAGCACCCTGACCAATCTTTGGCAAGGCTTTGATATCAGGGGGAAATTTGAGCTTGGCTGGCAAAGTACTTGTGTTCAAAGGTGGAGAGTTGATTTCAGCACTTGGATTGGAAGGTGGAGTATGGTTCACAGTAATTAAAGGCAGGCAAGAATTTGGTTGACAGTCGTCGGAGTAATCAAGGAGCATGGATGGATGAGTATTGATTTGAGCACTTGGGTTGGAAGTTGCAGCATTGTTGTTAGTAATTAAAGGAGCAGGAGAGTTTGGCAAAGAGTTGTTGGAGGAATCAGAGAGCACAAATGAATTAAGTTCAATGCAATCACTTGAGTTGAAAGTTGGAGTAGCTTTTTTAGTAATTAAAGAAGCAGTAGAGTTTGGTAAAGAGGTGTCAGAGTAATCAGGGAGTATGATTGGGTGGAAATTGATTTGAGCACTTGAGTTGGAAGTTGAAGTAGTGTTTTTAGTAACTAAAGGAGTAGGTAATTTTGGTAAAGAGTTGTTGGAGTAGTTGAGGAGCATGACTCAACGATACAAGGTGGTGAGACCAAATGTGATAGTTTATTGAAGATGGAAAGAGGTAATAGATCAAGCAAAGGTGGTAAGAGTGTTGTTCAAGTGATGTGAGAATTAAGGATACACCTTGTAGATGGTTAGAGGAAACCCAAAGGATTAAATAGACAAGATGTAGCGCTGAGGCCTTGGCTGATCAGTAACAATCAAAATACATAAGCAGATGCTGATTATGTGTCCTCAAAATTCAAAAAAATGCAAAGGCTGTACAGACTTACTTCACTACAGTTGATTCCACATCTGATACTGATAGTGATTTATATCCTTTGAACATTATCAGAGATGTGACCTGAGGATCTTTCATAATGTATACAAAACATCTTTTGAAATGTGATTCATATTGTAAGAACATATTCAAAAGAATTCACCCTCTTGGAGTCAAGAACTGACTGGAGTCATAGCCAAGTTTTCAAAATAAAGAACAAGACAAACCAACTCTTGTTTATCAAAAACTAACAAAGCGGTCTTTGGGGGTGCAATGGTCAGAATTTCATGATGTATGACTCAACTGTGATTTTTGTGCTTGTTCCTCAACTGATGTGCTATAAAGTCACATCTCTCTGTTGGTTTAGCAAAGGATCTCTCACAGATAACTTGATTTACAGTGTTGACTTCATTTGCTTTTGCAAGGTCATCCAAGATATGAACAATAAGTACTCCTATAGAGATAGCCACATGTTCTTGAGTGATGAAGTGAGTTGCACAATGTGTTCTAAATTATTATAAAACTTCATCAGTGTATAGCAAATGCTCAGTATATCATATTGTGCAAAACCAAGATACATTTCACAAGCATAAAGAGACCTGTAGCCTTTCCTATTCAAGGAAACACATTTGAATCTGAATGAAGCCAAATCCCATAAAATCAAAGCTAAAGGCCAGTTTGGCTACTACAGAACACAATATTTAATTGTATACTACACCAAAATCCATGTCTTTACCTTGGTCAAAACCACATATGGGGTCTTTACTATCAAGATATTTGGACAAATTGTATGAGGGCAGTATATCAACAAGAATCATCATATGTCCTACTTGGACGGATATATCTATATGCCTCTTTTTCTTCTTCCCTCTGGTAATTGTTTCTTTCATCATCTATATCAGCTCCCTTTTTGAACTTTTCCATCATGACCTGAATCGTACATTTTGTGACACTTTATGAATTCCTAGCTACCTGGTTGTCTCTCACCTTGGAATCACAAACACACATGCATCAGGAGTAGTTAAGTCAGAAATCAAAGCTGATTTATGTCACAAATAACTCTGGCTGAGGGTCTCTGGAGGAACAAAGTGATGTCTCTTACTAGTAAGGATACAATCAATTCATAGTTGCTATCAAACAGCCAAGTACAACAAACAAGTCATCAAGATATCCAGTGACTTCTTTTTACAATTTTTGGTCACCCAATTTCCCCATTCACAATATTATCACAATATTACCATGCGGCCTTTGGAGAGAGTGCAGGATGATATTTGCTCATCAGGTGGTAATCTTGGATTGAAGTAGCCAATTGGGCCTTAAAGTAAGTACAATGTACAGAGTGCTTATAATATTCAAGCTACTTCACACAATGATGATGCAAAAGAAACCTCTATCATCACAATGTCAAGTTAAGCAAGGATACTCCTACATCTAGATTTCCTCCACCTGCTCAATTGTTCAGGAGAGCCTAATTGTCACAGTGTTATTTGTTGATTGTCTCAAAAAAGATTTTGAAGGCAAGAGTAGACCTTATGTACAGGGTGCCTGTTATTATTAGTGTGGGTGTACAGATGCACTAATCTCTTTGCTCAATGTACGCAGAAACAGAGTAGCTGCAAGCATTACAGCACAAAAATTGCTCCGGGCGTAGTTCAACAACAATATTCCTTGTCAAAGATATTGCTGTTAGACCAATTATACAAATGTGTCTTCATCTACTCCTAAAAAAGGTCAGGCAGGAGTGATACAATTTCATCTTTTGGTCTTCAGGAGATAAAATATCAAAATTGAAGAGATCCCCTGGTTACTCATTTTCAAAGCCCAATATTTATTGGACAATGAGTGCACTATGCCCAGCACCAATCATTGGAATCACCTTGGGGATCTGACATGAGGGAACCTCTCCAAAAGATGTGAGTTTGCAGGTGAATGCCAATTGGGGGCATCTGTGGTTTGAAGTACTTGCAATGGATCAATCATCATGAGCTTCAAAGGCGCACACTTCAGCCATACGGTGAATGCATGCCCATAGCCCCTGTGTCACTGGGCTATTCAGCACGCACAAGCACAAGTGCATCAGCTTGCGCGGTGCTGTTTACCTGACCTGTGGCAGGCTGTAGTCTATATTAATTGGAACGAGTCATGTTCCTTTATTGTTGAGGCTTCTTTTATTGCTTCGCAGAAGTTCATTGAAGCACTATTGCTGTTGTGTATGTTGTTATTGTCCAGAATATCTTGATCAAAGGTTTGATATGGCAACTTCTTGCTCTGATTACCGGTTGGTTGGTAGACCCAAGGCCTAGGATCGAACTAAAGATGAAGGACTTGATCGAGAATCATAATTAAAATATTAACTTCATGATTTTGTAAAAGTATGTGTTCTTCCACTAAATCATCATCCTAACTTCCATTTGTTCTGGGTATTCTAGAAGTTGTCAGCGTTGGACATCGTCCCTTTGATCGCATTGATAATTGTGAGTTGGCTGAGAAGCTGAGGGAATTTGCTATATTAGCAACTAAAGAGATAACAATATCTCCATGACCGATAATGAGCCGTGAGACAAACCTGAGGGAATTTGCTATATTAGCAACTAAAGAGATAACAATATCTCTATGACCGATAATGAGCAGTGAGACAAACCTGCTCAGAGTGATGGGTAGAAATCGGTGAAGTAGAAGAGTACAGAGTAGTCGAAGTACAACACCTATTTATACCACAAGAATCACTTAGAGACGGTCAAAAGTACAACACAGCAAATGGCATCGCAGGATGAGTAAGAGGATGATATCATAGATATGAGACGAGTAATCAATATGAAAAGAAGAAATAAATAAGAGATTAGATAACCCAACACTACGTCTGATATCGTACTTCAATTTTGATCGAGATCCAAACAACTGCATAATCCGCGGAGTCCTCGAATGGAAGCCCCGAGAGAAGCCCTTGAGTGAATGCCCCAGCAGATTGGATCACTCATCAGTCCGTCTGAACCTTGACAGTCAGGGCACACCACTTCTCCTCAGCTTTCCACACAATCGGCGTCAACTTACTTCAACTTCACAACTCGAATATCTTGCTCTCGAGATGAGTGCCACGAAACCCTTGCCAAAGATCTTGATGTTACATGGGTCAGTTCTTACTCATATGGCCATGAAACTAGCATGGTATCTCAACATCTGATAATACGAACTTTTTAATTCGGATTGATATCAAAATATTAGCTACAGTTGAGTTATACTGGGTATGATCACTATTTTCAAAAAAACTGTTTTTCAATCCCCGATAACCGTTTTTTTTGATAAATATTTTGGTTTTTTGTTTGCTATTCACAAATGTATCACTAACGTTAATGATGTAACGTTTTTGAATCAATCCTTTTGAACGCGTAACCGGGCAATGAATGAAAATCTTTGGGAAATGATAAAAAAAACTTCTCGAAATCAAATATCAAATGATTAGCTCAAAATAGTTCAATTTTTTCGAAAAGAGTACACTGCGAAAATAATGTATTTTTCCAAGGTGAAAAATGATTGACATAAATGCACAAAATGATTAATAATGCAGAATTAATGCAGAAAAATGCAGAATTAATGCAGAATTAATGCATTTTTAATCATTTTGTGAAATAAATGTAATCATTTTTCACCTCGGAAAAATACATTATATTCACAGTGGTAGCAGCTATTCGTAAAGTCTGTCGTCCTTTTTGTGAAATGGGTCAGTCGATTTTTCTTTTTGTTTAATTAACAAAAATATGTGAAGTTTTTCATATGATATTCATTCTTAACTAATTCATCGGAATGTTTTTTTAGTTTTTGTGGATGCTCCTCATGTGATTGATGTACCAACAGTAGGTGCAGGCGCGTTTGAAAAATTTGTCAGCCGGCTCATCTGGTGAGAATTTTAACTATATCCAACCTTTGGTCATTCCTGAACGGTGTATCTAAGGGCCCGTTCGGCTGCTTTTCGAAAAAATCGTTACACAAAAACGATTTTTCGATCTGCCCCTTTTTCAAGGGGCAGATCGAGAATTTCATTTTTTGGCTTTTTGGTTTACCGAACAGTTGACGGTAAAGGTCAAAAACGGTCAACGAAAGATCAAAATGATCATCGTTGACCATTGATCACCGTTCAACTGTTTGGTAACGTTGAAATGAAAAGAGTCTTTCGATTGAAACTTGAAATTCAATCGAATCATTTTAAAATCCTTTGTTCCATCCATCACGGTCATCAACGACCAAAATCATCGTTCTGTATCATCAGACTTCACTTCACGTAAATCAAAGCATCATGGAGCGTCGTTCTCGCTCATCCCTTCAGTCTCTCACACCTGAAAAGTGCGCAAAAGATCAAAAGTTGCTTAAATTGCAATTTCTAAAACAGCTCCTTGCTGTTCAACAGCAACAATTTCAAATCTTTTGCTACCGAGACAGGACAGCTAATCGGACTGATTGGAAAGTGATAGAAGACGAGACTAGTGCGAAGAGAGACTGATTGGTAAGTGATAGAAGACGAGACAGGACAGCTAATCGGACTGATTGGAAAGTGATAGAAGACAAGACTGATAGTAATTGATAGAACTGATTTCAGATTGAATAGTGTGAAGAAGACGAGACTGATCGAATGGTGCAAAGAGAAGGATAGAATTGAAATGGATATGTTCAATTAGGAGAGGGATGATGGAAGGCCACATTCAGAATGGCGGAAGCTGAGTGATGGAACGGTGATCACAATAAAAAAGGGAATGAAACGAAATGGAAACGAAGCTGAGTGACGGAAAGGGATGTGAAGGAAAGAGATGTGAAGGAAATAAAAGGGCATGTAGAGAGAGAGAGAGAGAGCAAGGGAGGATTGGAGTTGATCGATGGAGATGAAGGGATGGGGCAAAAACAGCCTCAAGGCTGTATTTCAGAATCGATGATTTTTTGGGTCAAAAGAGTATTTGAATTTGGTAAAATAAAATTCCCGAACGCCGGAGTTTTTGTAGAAAACCAAATACGGTTTTGACCCCAAAACCGTTTTTGGCTTTGGTGGGGTATTTGGCCAAAAACGTTTTTTGGGGTCCAGCCGAACGGGCCCTAAGCTCTTGAACTCAATTGACTTATACTAAATGATGACTTTTCTTCTTTTGATTTCTTTCAGAGACTGATGCTGAGTTGATACCTCGAGCTTGGTGGTCATCAAAAGAACCTGAACAGACTGGTTTGCCTCACAAAGTTTATGAAGGTTTAGATGGTGAGTTTTTATCTTCTGGTTATATACTCAATGTCTACATCACGGCGTAACGTATGTCCTGATGCTTAAACTTCTTCTACACTTTCTATCAGAGACCATGAGATTTTTGCGGGAGGTTATTGATACTCAAGGACCTTTTGACGCCTGCTTTGGTTTTTCGCAAGGTATTGTATTCAATTCACATCCCTCAGCTCTCTCTCATTTGACTGAGCACTTGATCGCATACCTTTCTGGATGACTTAGGTGCTGCCTTGGCTGCAGTTCTCAGCTCTGTGCTAGAGTATCCAAACCTACATACAGCTTTTTCGGATTTAAAAGATCAAACCGATGGTCAAAAGGCTTTTAAAGCTGTTGTTTTAGTTGCAGGTTTTAAACTTGATCTTCCACCTGAATGGTACGGTGTAAGACCAGACTCGGATAGTCAAACCCTCCAGACTAGAAGTTTACAGAGAATTGGAGGACTGCCGGAGGTTGGGATTCGCGGGAATGGGAATGGCCTGTACGACCCTGTACTCATTGCCACGTTTCAGTCCAGAGGTTGACTTCTTTGTAAACATTCTTCCCATCGGCCTGCACTCATTGAAACAAATTGAAACTGTACTTTGTTCATCTTTTTAATGCTTTTTGAGTGCAGTGATGCAGTGCGCAACATATGACTATCTCAATTTTCAATGATGACCGATCATTACTTTCTCCTGTGAGTAGATCACAACATCCTATGAAGGTCTTATGAGTTCTTTCTTCAAATGATTTCATTTTGTAAATAAGCCAATTCTTCACCAAAAAAATAATACTGAAATGTATTGATCAAAACTTACTCTCTATCAACAATGAATAAGATACCAGCATGATTGACCGACCCAGTCATGGAAACCAATCCGATGAATATACGACCCAGTTGATAGCATAGCCTGGCCCAGCTGAGCCATCTGGTGCAGCCATGCTGCTCAGGGAAAGATGAAATACATACGTATCGCAAGTTGATCGCCTGTATGCATGTCAGGCGTAGCTGAGCAATCCACTGTCGACCGGCACGATTAACTTGTGATATGCCTAGCCCAAGGCATTGTAGAGGCCTTGCATCTCGGCAATGAGATGCAAGGCCTCATTGAGCGCACAATGTAAATAAGAACGAAGCAATGGTTGGAAAGTGTCTTTCACTAAATCCCAACATTGCTATCACTAATTCTTCCTCCAATCTTGCCATCACTTATCATGCTTTTCACGACCTTTATACACAACCTCCGAACCGAAAACCCTTCACTTTTCCAAACTCTTCACATCGAGGACCTTGCTCAGTTCTTATCGCTCGCATCTGACCTGGTCAATCGCAACGCAGAAGGTCTCGGACTTCGAAGTGATAGGAGGCCTCATCGATTCCTTGAAGACAGCCTTCCAGTACGACTTGTCACTTCTCTACATGGTTGTTAATGCAGTTTTTCAAAAATGTCTGACGCGTTTTGGGATGTGTTTGAGCTAGTAGACTAGAGCGCTAGCTGGAATTATCAAGACAGTAGCCTTGCCGGATTGGGTGTTGGGTATATTCTGTACGTCAATTCATTTGTACAGTACCCAATCCCAATCCCATCCCATTCCCAATCTCCGGCAATCCTCTGGTGCTCCCGAAGTTTACACATCTTAGGACGCACAGATAGTATTGTTGGCACCGGTAAGTCACCGAGGTTATTAAGATGAGGTGATTGAATTCACGATGGTACAAACTAGATTGATCAGATGTTCTTGGTTTGATTTTCAGATCGATCGGAACCACTCGTTTCAGCTTTTATGAATCCTCGTGTTGAATGGCATGATGGAAGTCATTTTGTGCCATCAAAGAAAAGTTGGAGAGATTTCTTTTGTAATTATGTTCAAAAACTTGATCAAACAGATGAATCACTTATACCTAGTCCTGGACAAACGGAGGTAATGAGTAATGTACCCAAAATGTAACCTTTGGTGGATGGATCTCTTGGCTTTTGATTTTTCTCGGTAAATGATTCTATATAGATTATTTTGATGTTTGAATTTCCATTCTTTGTAAAGTAAAACAATAGATAGAATGTCCATAGGTCAATGTTGAAATAAGAATTTGAAGAAATCCTGTCTCCAATTGAGGGATGAGATCAGTTTGCTAGAACTTTACGGATTCATGACTATGGTTTTCATTTATACTTTCTGTATATGGTAGCTCAAATCACCAAATTCTTTAGATATCTTAGGATATGAAGGATGTTTCGTGGCAAATCTCACTAAATAATTTGAAACAAATGTTTCAATGGTCCAAAGTTGATAATTCAGAAAACTTTCGGACAACACCTCTTGGCGTATGGGGACATTCTACATTCGACAAAGCAACAATGTATCTACAATCTTTTAGAACAGATGACGCCGAGAACACAACACAAATCTTGGTGAAATTTTCTATCAGACTCAAATAAAACTGACTATATAGCAATTGAATAAGTGAGAATCAGATGACCTTCTGACTGGATATGATGCTGTTTGTGAATTGATTTCCAATGGAATATATAGCTTTGGATAGCTCTGTTTGTGTTTTCTGCTTTCTTCTACAAATCATCCTGGTCTGGGTCAACAGAACAGGTCAACAGGTGAACCCTCACAAGCCGTCACACCAGGTCACACCCCAGAGTCCAGTCTCGATCGTTTAACTTGTAACTCGAGTACCGGATCGGATCAAGCTGAGGGTATGTACCGTGAAAGGTTTTCTTGGCAAATTCGAAATTTACAAAAAAACTTGACTGATCCTCCTCAAAGACTTCACAAAGGCACAAGATGAAAGACCAACTCTTCATTTTCGATACTTCAAGTGATCCGAAACTAAAGAAATTCTCAAATAATCATGATACTTCAACTTCAAAGGAAACATCAACACCTAAAGCTTTACCCATTCAATCCTCATCAACTTTATCACCAACAAAACCTATCGATCAACCACAAGATCGATCCATCGATTTCGATTTAAACGATTCTGCACCTTCAGCTCGTAGATATTGGAAAGAACCTACTGGGATCACTTGTACTATTTGTCAGGAACCTGATCATTCGGCTAAAAATTGTGAACATGAGTTGGTATGCAATGTGCTTAAAATGCTTTGAATATGTTATAAAAACTGACTCGGATACGCTTTTTTTGAAAAACACAGTGTTTAACTTGTGGTGCAATAGATGAACATATCACTCGTCTTTGTCCTGTATCTCTTGTTTGTTTTGCTTGCGGAAGTCGTGGTCATCTATCCCGTGTCAGTTTCAATCAAAATCAACCAAGAATATCTTTTACCCATACTTACTTTTCTGTTTTATCATATCTAGCATTGTCCATCATCATCCGAAACTCGTATTCTAGGAAAAGATTGTATAAAATGTGGATCAACAAATCATCTTAGTTTGGTGTGTGTTCAAATCAAATCAGACCCAACCTGTAATAAGTGCTCAATGAAGATTTTCTTCATAACCTTGGTGCTATTTAGAATTGTCCTTCGATTTGGAGGTGTTATGAAGAAATCAAGATTCCAAACCGGAAACCCAAATCATTGGTCCCATCCTGTTATGTAAATCTTCTACTTGTCTTTCCTCGTTCTCTATCACAAGGATACTAACCTTTTTCCTTTTCTATTGATTTTCACATAGAATTGTGGTGATAATGGGGATCATTTTGGTGATGAATGTCCATTTGGTCGACATGGTCGATTTAGACCCGAACCATCGGCTTTTTCAATACGAGCTTATCAAACTGATCATCATCGACATCATTCATCTCATTCTCGATCAAGTCGATATCATCATGATCATGACGATCGTTATACGCTTCCTCCTCCACGTGATTCTGATTATAGATCACATGATCGATACTCAGACCGACCAGCACCACCATCACATCAATCACGTAGACCTGCACCTTTACCTTATGAAGAAGAAGAAGAAGATTGGTTCTCGAAACGAAATCGAACAACTAAAAAAGACATTCCAACTGGACCATCAAAGAAACCTTTACAAAATAAAAAGAAAATCATAACAGATCATTGGGAACCTAAACATCCATCAAATCCAAATCGAAAGAAAAATCAATCGATTTCAAATAAGATTGAAATTAAAACTAAATTGAATAATGGACGTGATCAAAGTCAACAGTCTGGAAAGAATGGAAGAGTAGAGGAAAGAGAAGCTGGAGATAGTTCTTCAAATAAGAGAGATAGGATAGGAGGAACTTATAAAGGAGGTTATACAAGGAGATGAAAACGTGAAAAGTGTGTTGATAGAACCAGGTGGGAGCATCATAAATTCCTTATACAAAAGCAACCAGAATGAGAGATCAGAGCAAGTTGATTATCAGCTTTGGGCAAAGACAGATCTCATTGAAACTTGGTAATAGCTTATCTCTGTGTACTGTCTTGAAGGTATCATAATTAGAGTGCTCCATTGTAGGAATGAGTGGGAGGTGATATGTTTGATATAGAGCTCGATGCTATCAAAATCAAATAGGGTTGGACTACAATGACACAACTTTTCGCAAATGGAGATGGAAAGTGATGTTTATGGATTGCTTTGGGTCTTATAGATCTTGTAGGATAAAGATATGTAATTTTGATTCATGGAATAGATTGATAAACCTGAAAGTCTCAACATAATTAGGGTTTGATTATGAGATGGCACACTTGTTCAATCAGTTTGGCATATAAAAATAGTGACAGCTCAGGGGAGATCCACAAAGCAAATGGCAGATAATTCTGATGTAGAGTGACTTGAACACTGCAATGAGGCCAATGTTGGCTGCCTTGAGACTATGCAGAAGATGGGTTGGCAACAGGTGCTATTTGTCTGCGCAGCTAGTAAATCATACTCTGTAGGAGAAGACTTGCCTCCAAAGAGTGGTATTTGTTTAGTCAGAGGGCCTGTAACAAGATCTTACACATCAAAGGTCTATTATAGGCACATACTGGGTTCTAGGTATTGAAGTAAAGAATGAATCTTTTTTTAGGTACAACAATCTTAAGCAATCTATGCTAGCAAGCCAAATAAATCATGTAGGTCTTGAAAACAAGTCAATTTTATACACTGTTCAAATTCAAAATAAAACAAAACAAATCTGTGTTAAGCATCCTCGAAAGACATTTTAAGTGGATGTGTCAGTATTTTGGAACTTGTACAAAAAGAAGATAAGACACAAAAGAAAGGAATCAGATAGCTTTAGTTCTTGTGTTGGTAAAAACAGGGCGAGGCGATTACATGAGATTTTAGGTTTTCAGGTGTCTCCGAGGTAAGATAGGTGAGATATTTGAATTTATGAGCCTTGTCGTGCAAGAGGGGTAGTTGGAGGGTCATTGAGATCTTCATCATCCTCATCTACCACAAACTCTTCAAATTCGACTTGCCATTGTGGAGGTACGCCGGCTTCTTCATTCGGAAGCAAAGGTCCTCGCGAATCGTCTTCAAGACTGATGGCACCAGCTTGAGCCATGGTAGCTTTATATAGATATAATGACACAGAGCCACCGAGAATGGCTGAGCAAATGATATAAATAATGTTGAGAATAATTGTAAGGCGGTCCAGTCCTGGTGCGGATGAAAGTTGAAAAACTCTTGAACCAATGAAAACGTGGAGAAGTAGCTTGGGCGCAGTAGCTAGAGTTCCGATGAGAAATTGGGTGAGTGTGCAAGAGGTGGTAAGGGAAGCAAAGAATAGGTTCGAGTATGTGAAGGCTATGTGGTGCCAGTAGAGGATGGCAGATTAAGACATGATTGTCATAAGGAAAAAAACAAATCGAGAATTAGCTTCTGTTGATTGATTTATCTGTTTGATGATTAAAAGAAGCGTACGGAAAGGACAAAGCCTAATCAGGCATATCAATGGGAGACCTTTGAGACCTGTGAACGCAATGGACGTCAATTCGCAGATCATGTTCTGAGCAAGAGACTGATAGAAAGGCTTACCGACTGCTTGACGAAGAGCAGCAAAGCTTTTCTGTTTGGCAAGCCACTGTTGAAACCTTGGCAAGTTTCGACGTAATACACTACAATTCGATCGAAAAAGGTCCAAAGCGTGTTGTAAGCCAGGTTGCTCAGCCGTCAGTTCCATTTGTAATGTCAAGATAGGCTAATAACGATCTCGCAATCACTCACAGAAAGCTCACGGCGCTTCCAGAAAGACAGCCAATGGTGGCAACTATCCAGCCCCAGAACCAACCGTAGGTGAAGCCACAGAGGGTACTAAGCGTACCTTGAAAATTCAATTCGTACTTAATCAGGGCGCCGATCAATATCAAGAATGAAGGCAAGATGACATTCAAAGGATCTTCGAATCTTAAAAAACAGCATGAGGGTTGAGCCTGAGCCTAACTCACCAAAACCGATGACAGGAGGAAAACTCGAAACCGTGAGTAAGATGATAAGGTAGATCGGTCCAAGTGATGACATCCGCAGTTCGATAGCCCAGCTAGCCAGTGCTCTGAACACTCTTGAAGGGCTAACGATGAGAAGTGTACCGATCAAAAGGATATTGAGGATGGCATAGAGACCAACTAGTCGACGACCGATTGGTGTGAGGTTCCTATACCAATCTTGAAAGTTCGAATAAGCTTGCTCGGCTTGGTAGCGAATTGTCTGAAGACAATCAGAGTTTGAGATTGAAAACATCGTGGATTGATGTAAAATTGGTTTTCTTGAACTGGTTGACTATGGTTTCTGAAAGTTGAAATGAGGAAGTCGAGAGTTTGGGGAAGGAAGTTTGATGAGAAATGAAGTTTAATGATCAGGGTCATGGTCATGTAAAGCGGGATTGTAAAATACTCAGCAGCTATGACAACATGTGTACATACACCATCTCACTCTCACTCAATTAATCCCTCTGCTCAACAGCATTCAAGTACACATTTCTGGCTGCAACAATCAAATCATGAGATCAAAGCATTAGGACCCTAATGACTGAAAAATCGAATTAGATTCATGATATTGAGGCGTTTTCAAGCCAATCCTCAAACATCACAAATCACAAATGGACGATCGATCGAGCTCAACACACTTTCTGAGGCAGCCAAGGGTTTGGTCATGAGTTTCTAGACAACCATGCTATCTTTGACTTACAGCGAAGAGTCAAACTCGACGACATCTGCATCTAGGCAGAAAGTCTAGCATTCTAGATTGGCCAGTTGGCGGTGTGACTGCAGACCAGCATTGGACACAAGACTGCGTTTGTCAATCCACAAAGGTCAAATCGAGTTTGCAATTATTATCATATAAAGAACATGGCTTTGCACTCTCATACCTGTGTAGCTCAATGCGGATACAAGGGTCAATAAGAAATCATGAACACTTTATCATGATGACACACAGAAATTTGATATACTGAATTCTGGTGGATTGTAAGCTTTTAAAATTAGAAGTGAAATGAATAGGAAATCAAATTGGACATGGCTATTCTAAATGTAAAAAGAGTCAAAGAATGAGTATGAAGTGGATTGTTTTTAGAATTGGAGCATTGATACAATAGAATAGAAGAACTGACCTGAAGTGATTCTCAATGCTCTAATAAGGGGGCTCAAGTCAAAATATTTGCCGCCTTTTCTTAAAAAATCGGGGAAAGTTTTTTACGGTACCGTGCTGTAAAAACTTTTCCCAATTCATAAAAAAGGACCAAAAAAATTCTTTCGGATCTGCTTCTGAGCAGTAAATTTACGCAAATTTGCTGCTTAAAAAAATTTGGGATGTCGTATAACATTTCCCAATTTCATAAAATTTTGCGTAAATTTTATGAAATTGGGAAAAGTTTTTTACCATAAAAGTTGTAAAAATTTTTGACTTGAGCCCCCCTAATGTTGATTTTGGTAATGGTTTACGTTTGATCTTGGTAGTTTGCCACCAAACTGGTAAAAGCAAGATGATCATCAACCAAAAGCTCAATATGGTCTTGATTCTAACATCAAATGTCTTTTGTAAATTGGGAGAATCATAATTTGATGAAGGCTTTCTTGACATTGTTGCACTTGTTTGAGTAGTTGAGTAGTGTTGTCTGTTGACAATGATATGAACTTGAAGGTGTTGATTGATGTCTGGATTGTGTTGACTGCTCCAACACTTGCACCCAAGATGCATCTGCTTGGCCAGCTCTGGGGAGACCCGGAGGCATCCAGAACAGACTTCAAAACTAGCACTATGCAAAGGAAAACTGGTCTTGAGCATATTTTTGATGGATCCCACATGGGTCCGTACATCAGGGTAGAATGGTGTGGTTGGGAGGACTTGTTAAATAATCAGAAAATTTGAAAAACATTATAGTATATGCACTTTTCACTCGATTCTATCTTTTCAAGAGTTTGTTTGATGGTCAACAGGATGTTTTATTTCACAAAGATATATAAATTAATCATACAAATGATTATAGGTACATGCTAAATCTGCACAGAGTATGAATTTATGATGATCATTTTATACCTTACGTAGAATGAATCAAAATGCTCGAATGTCATGATTCTTTTTGAAACAAACCCAACACTTTCTGCTTCATCCCGACCGCAGTCCCTTATATCTATTCTACCAGTGTTCAAGAAGCAATCTGTGAGGTTGTTTATTTTGATTCTCCCTAGCTAGTCTACCAAAAGATATCACTTCTTCACACATCAAAGATTTTGATATCTAATCGTGATCTACAAGAAGCGTTGATCCCTCATATATATTCTCGTAATTTACTTCATTATAAAAAACCTTCAGTTCGATTCCTTTAAATTGACAAAAAACAGCTAGAGGAGATAATTGGCAATCTCCTGTTGATGCAAGGGAAAAATCTCGTTCGGTGGTAAGAAATGATAATGTCTTGAGCTTAGGAAATTGATCAGAAATGATTGAGTCTAAAATTTTTGAAAGTCGATTTTGTCGAAATTGAACAAAGGTAAGATCTGAGAGGGTTTTACAATTTGAAAAGCATTCCAAAGAATCGAGATCGGAAGAGTCCCAAATTTTTAAATGTGTTAAAGCCAGTAGTGAAAATTGATTAGAGTGTATTTTGTAGGTATCGTCAAATTCGGTTTCCAAGTGAGTAAGGTGAGGTGCCCAAGAATTGACTAAGCAAGATGTATTTGAAATGCAAAGCTCATAACACTGATCAATTATCAGATTGACTAATTTAGGAGGGCCTTGATGACAGTCTGTAGGGTTGTAGATCATGTCCACATGTCTGAGAGCAAGTGTTTTCAGTGATTTGAGATTTGAAAGAGATTCAAGAAGCGAACCATCATCTTCCCTTTCCATCTCCATGATATATTCAAGTTCGAGTGATTCAAGGAGTGGGAGATGTTTAAGAGGTTCAGTTAAGCACTCAGCGAAGATTGGTGCGTACTCGTGGCCGTGGATCTTTAAATGTTGAAGAGATTGAAGATCAGAAACTATTGCAGAAAGATTGCAACTCAAGTTGTGTATTTCTTGCAGTGTTAGTAAACCCCATTCTGGACTTCTAAGAGAGAGTGTCGTAAGGTTTTCGCACTGTGAAAGTACTTTGACGAGGTTCTCAGGACACAGACCAAACACAGTGCGAATCGCATAGTTTTTCAAAAAGTCGCGCATCCCTTGATCATCGTAAAGGGCTAAATTATCCGAATGAACCCTATCAACTTCCCAATACTCTTTATCTTCCTTGATAAACTTGTTTTTTTTATATCAGAAGATCGAAGTGAATAGTGGCGTGAAGGTTTGTTTTTGATTGCTCGTTCGATACGGATCGGTTTCTGAGGTATTTCTAGCCATTTTGATCTTAATAAGACATCTAATACTTTGACGTGAGATCCGTATTTTGGTAAGATCTCGCTATTCCAGAATGTCATTGGTCCAGAAATCAAAGAAGGGAAGTGGAGCGACTACAGAACCGCGAGTGTTCAGATTCAGACATATGCAGAATTGTATCATCATTAGTACACTAGTCTGTAGCTGCACTGTGGCAAGTTGAAACTGGCTCACCTCCCACATGATCGGTCCACAGATAGAATGAATCTTACGATTCACAACTGAAAAGGCTTGAAAATCAGTCATGATAGGTGAATCAGGTTTATGTTCATAAATCCATAGTCTCGACTGCTTTCCCGATAAAAGAGTAGATCCTTGACGAATCTTCTTGCGGCGATTGTCTATACCAACCCTCGGTCCCTTCAGTAGGTGCCCTATAATCTCAAGAATAAGCTCGTTTGGTAGTCGAGATAGGAGATCCTCGGCATGAGTCTTGTGTGATGCTGCAGCTTGATAAACTCGCTTGTTTGTTTTTGTAGAGTTCTTATCCATTTTGATCGATGTCGCTGGTTTGGATTCTGGAACCATCAACTATGTGAGGAGCTTCAAGTCAAAATTCTACAAGGATTCCGGGTATCAAAAGACCCCTTGACCGGTGTAACGGGCACTTGGTTGAACATGTCCAGGTGAGTTTTTTCCTCGGCTGGACAGCTGTATTTTTTATTCAGCGACAGCGCCCTGCAACGCGCAACTGAACTTATTTCTCATTTCTCCATAGGGTTATAAATTTGAGGTTGAACCCACTTCAACAATAAGGGGTTTCAAGTTACAATTTTTTATACGCTTTTTTAAAAAATCGGTCAAGTTTTATACGACAGCGTAAAAGTTTAAACTTGACCGTTTGTAAAAAGCAAGCATGTTGGATGATTATCGTCGTAAAAAGGATCGAACCGGTGAACCTATCGTTCCAAGCTTTGGCGACATTCTCTTCAAAGACAATGACAAGATGGCCTTCTTGACCAATCTCATGTTTGATGAAGTGGGCGATACCATCATTGAAAAGGTCAAAAGGTTGACCGGATACTTTTTATAAGCGTAAATTTACGCTAATTTTAAAACGGGAGACGTAAAAAGGTTGTCCGTTTTAAAATTAGGGGGGCTCAAGTCAAAAAAATTTACTACTTTTATCGTAAAAAACTTTTCCCAATTTCAAAATGTTATACGACATCCCAAATTTTTTTAAGCCGCAAATTTGCGTAAATTTACTGCTCAGAAGCAGATCCGAAAGAAATTTTTTGGTCCTTTTTTACGATTTGGGAAAAGTTTTTACAGCACGGTACCGTAAAAACTTTCCCCAATTTTTTAAGAAAAGGCGGCAAATATTTTGACTTGAGCCCCCTTATTATTTTACGTAAAATTTATAAGGTCGTCCAAGTTTTTAAAACGTAAAGATACGCAAAAACTCAAACTTGAAACCCCTTAATAAGCCAAAAGGTCCAAAGTAGAACAATGCCAATAGCACCACCCTTGCTTGAAACAACAGAATAGGTGATTGCACAATAAGATAAAACATAAATAGTAGACGCATGCCCAAATATTAGTCATTGTTTAACTTTGGACAAAAGCTGTTGGGAGAGTGGTTTTCAGATCATTCAGCCAGGTCAGCAAATTTGTTGAGCTGAGCATGGGAGTGTGTTGTTTCACAAAAGATTGTTTGCACACAAGGTCCATTCTCTGGTGGGTCTGTAGTCAGCGGGTTATTTCTATAACCACCTCTGGCTCTGCCTTGTCCAACACATATGGCTGAGGCAAGAGCCTGGTTTGGGGGAAGTGGAGCACTGTGAGGGTAGGGTATTCTTTAGAGTACTCTAGGCTCACTATGGGAAGGTAAGGTGGGTTCTTTTTATTAAAATAGTTGTATTTCAAATGTAATTTTGTAAATACAATTATAAATAAATAATGAAAGGAAGAAAGGAAATGAGGCTGACAGTCTGTTTGGATAAATCCAGACAGACTACAGTTAAATGACTCCTTAGAAGGAGGTTTGAAATACAATAATAGAAAGCTGGATCCAAGGCCCTCCTTTAATCTTCAAGGTAACAGATTTAGAGTGATATGTAGGTCACTAGCCTGGTTATTTATAGTCACCAACTGGTAGTTATTCAGAAGGTCACTAACCTGTGAGTTGTTGTAGGTCACTAACCTGCAGTTGTTCAAAAGGTCACTAACCTGAGAGTTGATAAAGGTTACTAACCTGCAGTTGTTCAAAAGGTGACTAACCTGGAGTTCTTTGAGAGGTTACTAACCTGAAAAGTTCTACTTGGGGAAAGTAGAGGATCCAAGGGATGAAGAAGGAAATTACTTTATCTTTTAGGCAGGAATCTGCTTTAAAGTGATGAAGTGAATCACTAGTCTTATATTTATAAGACTTTTGATTATGTACTTCAAAAGAACTTTAAAGGGTTCTTTAAAAGATATGTGTAATAAAATGCTTGGGGGAAAATCCTTGAAGGCTGAGAGAGGAGGGGTTTATATATCCTCCTCTCCAAACCTAATTGTAGTGATATTTGATTGTATCATCACTGTGGTTTAGGGTTTAATAATTACTATTAATTATTATTATTATTGATATAACATAATTACATATACGTGTTATGTATTTTATGTAGTATAAGCATCTTAACTCTTGACACTGAGTTATGAGGTGTAATTGGTATTTTATTACATGTTACATATGTTTTTAAGTGTATATACATATGTAATTGATGTTTGTATATGTTTTAATATATGTTACATGTGTTTTATAAGCTGTATGTACATGTAATAAGGTTTATAAGTAAAATTACTATATTATAAGTTAGTTTTGGGTACATGTATATGTACCCAGGGCTGACAAGCACCCTCTGCAAAACTTTGTGTGACTCAAAAAAAACCTCTGTCACACAAAACACGGTTTGGTTTGGTTACTCTGTAGGGTGGGTAGGTGGTTTTGGAATTTTTGCTTATTAATCCAAAGCTATGCTATTTAGATTGATGTGTTAAGTGTACACTATGGTTTGCAAAAAATGTAATTATTATGGGATTTGACCATCTGTTTCAAAGATGTCGTCTTCACATGTTGAGGACATGCCTAGTAAAGATGTAACACAAACATATTTGGTTACAATTCAGACATTTGGATCTTATCTTTCCCCGAGACATATCATACATAATCATGATGTAATTAGTTTGTATGCTGAACACCCCCTTCGGTAACGCATATGTAACGTGTGTGACCAAATATGCACCACCAAAAATGCGCAGTGATATTTGGTCGCATATGTGACTTGAAACTGTCATTCGGTAAACCCGAGTGTGAAAAAAGGCGCACACGTAATTTTGCATATATATGCAAAAATCGTGCATATTCTTGAAAACGACAAAAAAGTCGTTTTTGCTTTTGATATATGCAACTTTCTATGATCTGTACCCATCACGCTTTCTTTTTTGACTCGTTCATTTCTTTCCTTATCTTTATTTCTGTTGGTTTATTTGCCCCAACGATCGATATCAACCCTCTACCTCTTCCTCTCTTTCAAATCATTATCCCTTTTTCACTCTTCACATCGATCCAAACTCGATTACCTTCAATCGACTTGCTTTACCTTTCTTGACTCAATTTCAAGTTATCAACTTAGCAAACCCTCATTCGTTCAAATCAAAAACTTGATCAATCAAAACCAAATCAGAATTGATCAAAATCAAAACCAAATCATAATCAATTGAAATCAAAACCAAGTCATTCATATTACAATCTCATTCATTTGATTTGGAATCTTTTAATTTGAGAACATATTAATTTATATTGAGATCAAGTTGCATTCAATCAAAATCTCAAAATCATGTGGGGACAAAACCAGGCGCTGATCTAAGACACTGATGCTATCCTATTATTTTATCACTTTCATTCAATCAAGTCAGATACAAAAGAGATGGGAAATTTAACTTTTACATGATTTGTATAGCTGTGAATGATTCCTGCAGATTGGTTTATACTTGTATTCTTCAAGCTGTTTTGTTGCATACATAGCCTTTGATCTTTTCAATTCAAGATTCTCATTATCGTTGTTATCCGCATTGTGATTCACTTGAAAGTGCTTTTTGTGAAATTGTTCTTTGGATATGACAGAAAGATGATTATTACTATTGATATCGTCATATCCGAGCAAGACAAAGGGGAAATGAGAAGAATCGAGTTCTTTGTGCTCGATTCACTCATTGATAATGAATCACAAACTTGAACAACTCATGGATGGATTTTACCAAATGGCAAAGTTGCGGTATACTTGTCAACAATCGTATAATGCGACCTTTGACGAGTTTACCAAATGTCTTCACAAAATATATTTTATACATACACACATGGTGAGAAATTTTCTCACCGTGTTAGCAAAAGTCGCATAAAGTTACATATGCAACTTTTGTTACCGAAGGGGGTGGAAGGTGTCAAGTATGAAAGTTGCACAAACTTACCACATATTGCTGATCAAATCTTCTTGGTTACATCCATGAAATGTAATCCGTACATTTCATTTACATAAGTCACATGTTTCTGGAACACAAATCCAGCCCAAATTTTGATTGGTCCAAATTTTGATTCAATATCAATTGTAATTCCAACATATTGTGTTGATTTTTTTTTGATTTCCTTTGTTGGCATTGTTTTTACTGGCTTCTGGGGGTTGGGGGACAGAGGGAGAAGTAATGCACCATGTGATATACAACCATCCTGATATTGCTTGTTGCTCCGTTTTGAAAAAGGAAAAGTGAAACCTAAGTTTTTACTCAATAAAACTTCAAACTTGGCTGTAATTCAGGGCAATACAGCCAAATTTCAGGTTTTAACCAGTTAAAACTTAGGTTTCAAGCTCACAAACTTTTGCTTTTCAAAAAAGGCGCAACAAGCGATATCGGAATGGCTGTGGTTATTGCAGTGTAAGGAAAGAGAGTAAATTGGGACACACTATCTGGTACAAGTGCGGCTCAAAGCCGTGAGGTGTCACAGTATGCAATACCATGATCCGTGACATGGGATCATAACACTTTCCCCCCTTCACGCCCAGGCTCCCTGTTTGCGGCCCTGCGTTCTTCCCCAGGGCTGGCATTAAAAAACCCGGTGGGAAAAAGATTTGCCCCTCTCTCATACCGCTGTGTTTGTCTGTGAACTTCTGAAGCATGTGGAAACCTTAAATTAAACTTGTTGATCATTTCTCTTGTGTTATTGACGTTGACCTCTGGTTCCCATGAATCCTTTGACTTGTTATAACCTTTCCAACTAATAAGGTATCTGGCCTTTCCCCGCCTGGTTCTCTTGTCCAGTACTGCTTCAATCTCTCACTTGTCTTCTCCCTTGATCTCTACAGGATAAGGTTCAGACTGCACTCTCTCTATGATCAAATCAGGTAAGTGTTTTATAAGCAGTGAAACATGGAATACAGGGTGCACCTTACTCATTGTTAATGGTAACTTCAGTTTGTAGGCCAAGGCTGATACCTTCTTTTCTATAACAACAGGGCCTAACCAACGGTGATTGAGCTTAGCTGACGGCCAAGTTGTTGATATATGGCCACTATTGAGCCATACTTGGTTGCCAACATTCCAATCTGTGGTAGGTTGTATTCCTTCATCATAATTTTGTTTCATTACCTCTTGCACCCGGCTTATATTTTCCTTCAACTCATTTTGAATCTCTCCAATGCACCTTAATGATATGGATGAGGTTTAGGAGCAATCAGCAGCAATTGATCAGAATGATTGCTTCTGACAATCACAGTTGATCAGTGTCAGGAGCAATTGTTTTATCAATCCACAATTGAACACTGGTTTTTTAACCTCTGTCTCCACTTGTGATCAACAATCCCCACCACACCAATATATCAATATCAATGCATCAAGCTGATTTTGATTGAAGCCTCAACTTTGCAATTATGTGAGAACACAAGCACACAGAATCCAAGATAAGGATCGTAATCAATCAGAATGATTGCTCCTGACAATCACAGTTGATCAGTGTCAGGAGCCATTGTTTTGCCAATCAACAATCAAACACTGGGTTTTTAACCCCTGTCTCCACTTGTGATCAACATCACCCACCACAACAATATATCAATATCAATGTATCAAGGCAATTTTGATTGAAGCCTCAACTTTGCAATTCTGTGAGAACACAAGCACACAGAATCTGAGATAAGGATCTTTGAAAGATCCTTGATTAACATGGTTTGTTGTTTTGTGCTTTGAACAAACTCAAAGTCCGGTGTTGCTTTCCGGACTTTGTTTTTTTGAACCAGACCTTTTGATCAATCAGCTTTCATCACCTTGATCAACTTCAAGCCCACAACCCAACAACATGTTACAGCCTCATCCACATCAGGATTCAGATGGACCACAAACCACCCCTAGTATGCTCCAAACTCGAGTTTGCTCTTGCTTCAACCAAACCATTCAAGACCTTCAGACCCCTCAACCCATGCCTTAAGGGACAAATATGGCTCTTACTCAGTGCTAAACACCGTGAACCAGTCTCCCCGCAAGTGTATCTTCCTTTTGGTTTTTGACCAAGTGGCTGCAAGGTTCAATCTACCTGAAACCCTCATGCCGTGTCTCAGGAGCATTTATGAGGTATCTTACTTCCACCTATAGCTGTTTTTGATATCATTGTGTATATAAAGGTTTTGATTTGGTTTGAATTCTAGGATACTCCACCTGAGGAGCAAGAGATAGCCGTGGCTTTCTATCTCACCAAGTTGATTGGTCAACTTCTGCCAGCTTAACCTTAATCTGCAGATTGGAGTCCAACAAACAAGCTCTGAGTAAGGGGCATTCCCTTTTGTATCATTGTAACCAGATATACTGAACAGAGGTTACCATGTAGATTTTGATTCAAGGGCTACTTTCAAGATACATCATTAGGGTGGTTCAAGTTGAGAAGTGCAAGCAACATGCCACAGAGTTGCAATCAGGTTTTTTAGGGTTGCTTTCTCCTTAAAATTCTTGATCACATGGTCATGAACACTCTAAAATCAAGTTTTAAGGACTTGTAAAAGAAGGGCCACTGTTTCCTAGCGCTCAAGCCTCTTTTTTTTTCTGTGCCCAACAGTTCTTTTTTAGCTGTGGCCCTGTTTTTACTTGCCTTGGTGAAGTCCAACAACTTCTTTTAGTGGTCAACTATGGAGGTTTTCAAGAGTCAATCCATGCCTATTGAGAGAAAACTGTCACATCCAGGTACGCCAAAAGACAAAAAAATGAACAGTGATCCTTTTTTCGTCATCTGGACCTGACAGTCATAAGAAAATTAAGGCAAATCAAGTGATTGCAAAACTGTGAACCACATCTAGAGGTGGTTTGCAAACTTATCATTATACTTATAATTTAAAGCACCTGAACAAATCATAAAATTTAAAAAGGGGTGTAAAAGCTCTTCTTAAACCACCCTATTGAATTGCAAACACTGGCATACAAATCTGATGTCAGAAACAATGAATGACTCACCAATTCATCTGCAAACAGTCTTGAGTGTTGAGTATTGGTAAGTTATAGCAATTGAAATCCTGCAGAGTACAATATACTCATGATGGATCCCCATATGGTCATGTAGGCTCATCTTGGGCGCCATGCTTGAGCCAAACCTTTTGCACGCCTCTTGTCAGCGTCTTTTGACACCACTGAGATCGGAATGTCTGGCAAGGTTATTGAGATAGTCAGGGACCTTGCTGATAATACTTGCTCTCAATTGCAAGCACAGGTACGCACTGATATGTTGGCTACATATCCATGCTATATGCCTGACATGGCTGCTGGGTAGCTATTGCATAACATCAGTCCGCCTCTTGAACCAAACCCGGCGGTGCCTCAATTACAATCCTTGATTTCCAGGGTGTGTGCCTCAGTCAATCCACAGCCCATTGTTCAAGTTACTTACTGGTTCATTAAACATATCGTTCAATCATCAAATGAAGAAGCTGAACCGCTTTCCAAAGTGGAAATTTGGAAACATACCGACAAGGAAGATAAGGCCCAAATTTCCCTTCTCGTGAGTTTGATTCTGTCAGCAATCCATCAGATCACATATCTGATGCAAGGAATCTGGTAGCAATTGATTGCATTCAAATTTTACCAAGAGCTATCCCAGCCAATACCCAGTGAATGTGGTACCTTGTGGCACCAAGTGGATTCCTGCTTGGAGTGGATATCCACCCTATCTAAGAACCACCAAGCCAAGTGAGTTAATGAAAGCTGATATCACCCCTACACATGTAGAGTAACCATTGACATGCAACAAACATATATCATGAAGTGATCATGTACATTGAGCACATAGTCTTTGATGGGGTCTGGTTTTTCGCATCCATTGAGAATGAAAACACGACGACCTTGAATTTATTTGAAGAGCTGGACTGGGAAGAGCTTTTTGAAGACATTGATTCAAAGCAGCAATATAAACTTGGGATCACATGAACTCAAGTCTCAATCTCTTTACCATGTGGAGATTACACTTTCAAGGCATAGATGACCAACCCTTTTGGAAGAGATAACGTATGAGATAGCCCTCTGGGAACGATGGGCTTTTCTTCTGCCTGTGTATCCTACATTACCTATGTCCCTCAAATAATAGTGTGGAGCAAAAGAACAATGTTTTAAACAGCTAGAACACTCTTTGACGTGGTTTCAGCAAGGTCTCTGGACTTGTTTGTGTAGCAATCTGTCTTGTTTTTTATCCCTGTTTCCCTCTTACAACAATACACTAGATTCTTGAAACTGGATTGTCCAATCCTATTCCATCATTCTAAAGTTTCATTACAGTCATCTAGAAATCAAATGTCACTTATCATCCTCTATAACAATATTGCTAATTGCTATATTGTTAGAGAGGAAATGGGAAGAAATAAAAACAAAGTGAAAGAGTGAATAGATCTGCAAAGTAAAGCCAGGCTTGGTGCCAAAAGAGAAGTGCCTTGATTTGTGCAAATGTTCTCATTTCCTTGGTTTTCTAAAGTCAAACCTGGTCTCAAGGCCTACAGTCCTGCTTGCAACAGGGCTTTGGTCCCAGAAGCTCAACTTAATATAAAGCAGTGTATTTTAACAATGCAAGTTATATCTAGTACCTGTTGAGTTTGTAATGGGCACCTTTAGTTTATGTTGTGGTTGTTTATGTTCTGATGAAGTATTTACATGCCTCAACAATATATAATTTTGATTTACATTCCAGATACATTGACTTCACATAAATCCTATAAGCATTCAAAATTCATATCAGCATCACAAGCCACTTTTGTCAACGGTAAGTAAGCATTATGTTTCCCAAATGTTTTCACTGGGCATGTTGTGAACACATATGTACCCTTAAAGTTTGGACCGTAGTGTAGTCTTGGTTCAAGCAACTGAGTTAAATTGGGCACTCAAATTAGTGGCTGTCCATCTAAAAACAGATCTCATTGGCATGTGGTGGCAGCCAAGGAAAGATGTCTAGGGCTCGCATGCTAAAAAGATAGGTTATGATTGATTAATTCACTTAAGGGTTATTCAAGATTTTATGGTTACACATGCTAAATTAGATATTGCAAATGCAAATCTATTCTTGAAGATCTTTTAGATCATTCACAGATCACAAGCTGTTTGTTTACACACTGCAAATATAATGTATTTTTCCAAGGTGAAAAATGATTACATTTATTTTACAAAATGATTAAAAATGCATTAAGTCTGCATTGTTCTGCATTAATTCTGCATTATTCATCATTTTGTGCATTAAACTCAATCATTCTTCACCGTGGAATCACACTCACACCCGGCGTGTTTTTGGGGGCTTAGGGCATGGCTGGGGCCATGGCCTTACGCCCGGTGCGCCCCAGCTGCCCTAGCAAAGCCCTGGTGAACAGGGGCTTTAGCAGGGCACCCTAGCTTCAATAGAGGTCCTCATGTACATAATTACAAAATTTCATCCACAAACCCTAAAAGAGCTGTTATTTGAAAAGATTGTCAAACAGACCATCAATTCAAAGGGTTCAACTTCAAATCAAATCGGATTCATTCATCACTTCCAGTTCAACTTGCAATTTGACCCTGATCACTTCAATTCACAGAAATCAAAAAATGACTCATAAATCAAAGCAAATCAACCCAAAACTCATCATGAAGCATGGTTAACTTGACAACCGCCAACACTATTGACTCATTACAAACCAAAACCTCATTGATCCGTGATAAAACTAATAACACTTCAAGCACATTTCAAAGTCAAATTCAACTTATTAGTCTAGATTCCGCTCTTGAATCAAAATTAATTCATTCAATTGGTCAATAAATCAAATATAATCAAATCTAAGATCCTAATTTTAGAACAATTGTAATCTTTTTGAGACATTTGCTTTCTTATATGCAGGTGATTGTGTGGTATTGGACATCAGCTAATATCAATACAAGAATTTCTTGTGGAAATACCTGAAAGAGTTATGAGGTTCCATGTATGAACTCAAGATCCCATTTTTGATCAATAGGAATAGGATTATACCCCTGGATAGCCCTGAGGTGCCCTGGAGGTCATCAGGGCTTGGGCCAGGGCATGGCATAAGCCCTAGGCCCTGCCCTGCCCAAAGCCGTGGCACCACATGGTATCAGGGCACTGGGTGTGAGCGTGACCTTGGAAAAATACATTATTTTTGCAGTGACATGCTCTGCTCATTGTAACATCCTTGGTGTAGTTGTTTCACACTGGCTGTGCACTTACAAATATCCTCTGCACCAACCAAAGAAAAATCCTCTCCACCTGCTCATCCTACACACATACATCTTTTCAAATCCCTCCCTTGCTGCCAGGAAAGCCCTTAAAAACAGACTTGAAGAAATGGTTTCTGTGTAACATTTCAGCACATTTAGCTTTTGACAGGTTGGTCAGCTTTCCGCCTGATTTTGGTGTTTTTTGCAAACTTCACAATTGCATTGCTATGTGAGTTTTGAATCAAATTAGAAGTAGGCTACACACATGTGTATAGATTAAGCAGGGTCACAGCTCTCCTCTTTGGTCTCAAGGATATTTGTTTGCAGGATACACAGATATGGAGGATTGAGAAAGTCCCCAGCCAAACGTTTCCGGCTCATACATCAAATTTTGTGTATAAGGCCCTCTCTCAACCTTGTTTGTCCAAGAGGGATAAGTTACACGGTTTCCAATAAGGGGTTTCAAGTTTGAGTTTTTGTGTATCTTTACGTTTTAAAAACTTGGATGATGTTATAAGTTTTACGTAAAATAATTTTACAACAGGAGACTTTTTTACCTCTCCTGTTTTGAAATTAGCGTAGACATACGCTTCTAAATCATTCGGTCAGCTTTTTGGCCTTTTCAATGATGGTATTGTCCACTTCATCAAACACGAGATTGGTCAAGAAGGCCATCTTGTCATTGCCTTCAAAGGGAATGTTGCCAAAGCTTGGAACAATTGGTCCACCGCTTTGATTCTTTTTACGGCCATAATTGTCCAACATGCTTGCTTTTTACAAACGGTCAAGTTTAAAATTTTACCGTGTTGTATAAAACTTGACCGAATTTTTAAAAAATTGTATAAAAGATTTAAACTTGAAACCCCTTAATAACAGTGTCTTGGTGACAAATTTGTGACCAACACATCGCTGGTTGGTTCTGGTCACAGACCTTTTGAAAACATCCCAGGAACCACCGAGGGCCAAGGACGTTCACCCCCTGGTGTAAATGGAAGGTCGGAAAATTCTATGGCCATTTACGGTATACAAATATTGTTCTAGAAATTTCCAGAAGATTTTTCCCAGAACGTCAGAAAGAAAAATCATAATGGTATCTGGCATTCTGGTGTTCTGGAAGTTTGAACGCCCCAGCAGTCCAGAATACCAGAATCCTGAGTACATGACACAGGAAACAAGGGACAATTTTCCCGCGGGAAAACCAATTGTATCTGACTCAGTTAATGTGCCAAAATGTATTATTTTGGCGTTATATCTGTGTTATTTGTACATTATGGCTCAGAAACTACATTATGTGTAATCGGTCTTCCCGCGGGAAAATTGTCTCTTGTTTCCTGTGTGACTGCGACACAAAGTGGAACCTTATTCACAGAAAAATAGTTTTCCAGAACACCAGAAGGGTTCTGGCGTTCTGGCAAAAACCTTCTGGAAATCTCCAGAACAATTAGGGTGTTCAAACCTCAAAATCAATTCATGCAAGTTTTGTGCAAGTTCTGTGCAAGATATGAATAGAACTTGCACGGATCTTGCACAAAACTTGCAAGAGTCGGTCTCGCACGGTTTTTGCACGGTTTGGAACACAATAACTCGGGTTGTCAAAAAAATTACTGTGCAAGATTAGTGCAAAAAATCTTGCACGGATCTTGCACGGATCTTGCACGTCGGTCTTGCACATTTCTTGCACAGGTTTGAACACCCTAAATATTTGTATACCATAATTGAAGTTCTGCAACTATTCTGCAAAAATATGAGACTGCAGATTAAGTGGTTCTTTGTGATGCTTGTCTGAGATGAAAGTATGGTGGCGGCTGTGTTGGGTACAGAATCAAGCTTGATACACAGGCTCACAGCACTGCAAAGCCTCCGGCCGCGAGAAAGGGTGGAAAAGAGATCTACACTTGGCTAGTACATGGGTTTGTGCCGTTGTGCTGTGATGAAGCCGCAGTTTGATTCCGACAGTCATGAAGACCGGCAAATCACACATTGGCTGCCTTCCTGTTTCTGTTGTTTTTGTCATCCATACGCAAGTCATCTCATTCGCTTTGATCAAGATTCGCTTGCATCGAATTAGGTGTCTGCATACATAGCAATATCATTTGTTTAAATAACCAGACTCAAGAATTGAAACAGATCGAAGCACCAAACTGAAGACCACCGAAAACAAGTTTGATTTGACGTATTTCGATTTCCAAAAGTTCAAATCTGACATAAATTCGGCTCCAAAGCTTCACTTTTTGGCTCTCATCTTCCGACAGTGCCAAAGTGCCTGTGCTCTAACTTGGATTCATTCAAAATCAATCGCCAGTCTGGACTCTGAGCATCCGATTTTTGAGGAATTGAAGAAAAATTGGACAAGCTCTGATTGGTCCGGGGTTACGAAATCTGTAACTTAACCGATCTTAAGGTAGTTTTATCTTTTATCTCCTCATAGTAGATACAAGCCATTTTACACTTCACCACTCGATTTTGATACCTCCTGTTCTCTCCGTTCCTCACATCACCTCTGCAATTTGCCTAATATCTTCCTCATCCTACATCCTCGTTTCGAAATTCAAGCATGGAGTTCCCAACACTTGAATCCTACCTTAGTCTTCCTTCGAATTCAACATCCCAACCGAATCCACCAATCGTATCTCTCGATGAAGACAGCCATGAATTTGTAACAGCCCCACCCTCAATATCTCCTCCTATTGTCATCGGCACTCGTAATTCTCGACTTGCGCTAGTCCAAGCTGAGCTGGTTCGAAAGCTTTTCGAAATTTCTCACCCTAACCACCCCACCACTATTCAATCGATGTCTACTGCTGGAGATCAAAACCAGGGTCGACCACTTTATCTTATGGGAGGAAAATCGCTATGGACTAAAGAACTAGAGGTGGCTTTACTTGAAGGCTCAGTCGATCTGATCGTTCATTGTCTCAAGGATATGCCTACATCACTTCCACCTGGCTGTGAACTTGGTGCCATACTTGAGCGTGAGGACCCTCGAGATGCGCTAGTGATCAGGCGTGATTTACCATTTCGATCGCTGAGCGAGTTACCCGCTGGATCGGTTATCGGCACTAGTTCAGTTCGCCGAGTGGCCCAACTTCGCAGACGATTCCCTCAGCTAAAATTCCAAGATATTGTTAGTTGCCTACCTTATTTTATACTGCTCTGTGCAACATTTTCATTTTCATCAAGATGCTTACTTTTCCCTCTTCTTCTACCTTTCCTGGATCAGCGTGGTAACCTCAATACTAGGTTTAGGAAGCTTGATGCACCCGACTCTCCTTACACTGGAATCGTCCTGGCTGTTGCCGGCTTGAATCGACTTGAGTGCGCCGATCGGATATCATCTTACCTTTCCCCTCCTGAACTATACTACGCCGTGGGTCAAGGAGCAATTGGGATCGAGATTCGTAGTCGAGCCGAGGAAGGAGAAGTCACACCTCGCGCATCCCAACGAACAGAAACAGTACGGCAACTTGTCAAATCTCTTGAACACTGGCCTACTGCTTTGGTTTGCCATGCCGAACGCTCTCTTTTGCGAACACTTGAAGGAGGCTGTAGTGTACCAGTAGGAGTCACAAGTACATTGCTACCCTTACCAATGCCATGTCAATGGGCACCTCAAGCTAGATTGACATTAACTGGAGTAGTCACAAGTGTGGATGGGACAAAGGAAGTGATGGTGACCAAGACGGCAGATATATATGGACCGAAAGATTCGATTAAATTAGGGTGTGAACTTGCTGCTGAATTACTTGAGGCTGGTGCGGATGAGATTCTAGAGGAATTGAATGTGGTAAAGGAGGCTGCAGGTGATGGTACCGAGGAGACAGAAATTAGTAGGATCGGGGCAGTTGAAGCTAAGACTCACATTCAAATTGCTGCACCTGCTGATTCGGAAAGAACAATGATTGGTGCAAATGAAACTCATAGTACCATATCTATCAAGGCTTAAAGAATTAGTCATTACAGGTCTTTAGTATATCAGGGAGGTCAAAAACTAAATTGAATAGTTAGAAATTTGTTTTGTTTAATAACAAGAATAAGCATCGCATCCACTTATCCATATTGTTATTTTTTCCCTCTTACATTTATGTCGTATGTACATGAAAGTTGTCAATCGTTTTCGTTTTATTAATAATTCCCAAATGAGAGAAATTCACTTTGGGATTGAAGGTTTTTGTGTTTGAATTGGAGAGGGACTTTTGTAGTGTTTCTGAGATAGAGAGCATTGTTTGGGCTGTGGTAAGGTGTAATGCTCAAATGTCCAGTTCTGTTTACTATATATGATATCTTCAAGAGGCAGATCAGCTGGCCCTATGGGTTGGACATCTATTTTCCATACCACAGAAGATTCGCTTGAGAGTCTGGCTCATGGATTGGAGAAAAGTGGGTGACTTGAGTGGACATGGATGGTTTGAAACTTGCCTGGGGATTCTAGATTACCAGCAAGCTGAGACTCTGGTTATATGATGGTATGTGATGTTTTGATTGACCACCATTCCAAATATAATGCTAGGAGTTCATCTTGAAAGAACTTCTAAAACCAGCATTGATGTCTACTCCAACTACAACCTTAATGCTGCAGTGAAGATCTTGGGGACCTTATGTACATCTTTTGGTTCAACTTCAAGAAAGAAGCAGTCACATGAATAATCATCATTCTCTTGTGTATACCACTTGAGAAAGGATGAGTGGAACTAGTGGAATATATGCAGAGAGAATGAGCTTGAACACTACTCATGCTAGATCGAGTATCCAAGACAGATTCACATAACCCCACATCATCAGGTATGATGTGGTACAAGAGAGACCACAATAATAAGCATCCAGATATGCAGATGTGTCTGGCAAGAATGGTGGCAGTGCGTGCATATCCATCAGCGGGGTTCAAGTTGGAAAATGCCTCAAATATCACTTTCAACCCGTAGAAATTCTGCATGGATTTTTACATTTTCAAAAAGCCTTGAGAAAGCACCACCTGAAAAACACATTCCCAGTCTTTTTGAAATCCCTACATCTTGAAGGGCTGGGAGGCCAAGGTGCATAAAATTTTGGGCACTTTGTGGCCAAGTCGAACCTCCCTAAACTGGGTCCAGACCCCAGCCAAAGTAATCTCGGCTGTTAGCATTCTGGATATCATACTTATCACTCTCATTGGTCGACCATACCCAATACCGAATTGAGTGCATAAGCAGGCCGGTTTCCGGTTTGATATGATCAGACATCCCCTGGGATCACTCCACAATAGCATGTGACATCATCGCCGGTGAGTGTTCCACTACGTTCAGGCTGTCTATCTGAGTTTATATCACACATCCACTTTATCCTGTAACTCTAGCGACTGTACATATCCATAAGACGGAATGGGTAAGATCCACTCTACAAGCTGGAACGAAGAGAACTTGCAAGTCTAGCTTGATTTCAGAAAAGATAACCATGTTCTTCCTAGCCAATGACAGAAGACTCCGCCCTGATAGTACAAAAAAGATATAGATCTTCATAGGCTTGGAGTGAGCGACATCGGAATATGATTGATGTCTGTCCAGTCAGTCGAGTATTCTTGATCGAAATTGATACATCTCAAGATAAACTCATCATCGATCGGAGTGTAATCATGTGATATTTGCAGTCGATCGGACGAGAATACAAGAGAGTCTAAAAGGAGATTGATACATTGAGTAGGTTTTCAATGAGATTCTTCAGATGCGTCATGACCATGATCCCATGGATGTCGGCCCTATCAATCCAAGAAAAGTCGAGTTGATCGAATCAGTCGGCTAAAGTGTTATGTGATCACATTGATGAAAAGAAAAACTAACCAAAAAGACCTGTTGACCGTCCTCACGAATTCGATAAAACATAAAGAACCACATTGTTGCACCTAATCAAATGAAAATTTTGTTAGCTAATTTGACTGATAAGTTTGCAAGGATTGAATGTGAGAAATGAGAATCAACTGACCAAGTGCTTTAGCTGCACCGCGTTGCCATCTAGTGGGTGGATGAGGGTGAAATCCTCCGTACGTTGATTTAAATGCAGATAATCTTGGGAATGATGGTCGTACCATTTCTGTAGGATTGTGTTATCCAGCTTCTGAGGTCGGTTGATCGATATCTGGATTGGTTTGATGAAGAATGCTGAAGAGAAGGGTATGGGCAGAGACGGGACTATGTATGGGGTATCAGAGGGGAGAGAGATTGACTGTCCGTTGTATGTCTATGGGATTACATGTGACAGCTACATGACCCTTCGTGAATCATCAGTCTGGATGAACTCTGACGTGGTTTTGGTTTTCGACTCCATTTTCGATTTTCAATTTCCAATTTTCCCAGTCAATCAACTGGAAGGTCACATGTTGATGGTTTGATTAAATACTAATTTACCTTCAATAGTTCAATGATAAAGACTTGAATCAGACCAATATAGAGACTACACTCTTAAACTTTTAGATCTCGCAGTCTATGAATCTTTATGAATGATCAATCGTCAAATCCTACCCAAATCCATCTCATAGCACGCCCCATTCATCGGTAAAAAGGGTCAAGAATGTCCACTAAAGCTGAAAGCATGTCAACAAATGGATCATCTGCTTCAATCGATTTGAAGCCTAAGACAGAATCCGAGCTATGCATTGAAAGACTAGGTACGTCTTACCCAGCATATTCTGGTTATTTGCCCAGAAATTTTCGAAAGGATTCTGATGAACTCATCCCTGAATCTGGCTGCGATGCCAGAGAATAGATTACCAAAAAACTATTCGAGCTCTGAACCCAGCCGAAAATCCGATGAAACTCGCGGATCTAGTTCTCAGGCTGCTTCTGCCTCACGTCCCAACCTTGAGCCAGAATTTGATAAAATCTATGACTCAGATCCTTCCAGCTTGGAAAGCCTTAGCATAATCGATAGTCAAGACTCCGAGACAGACAGACAAGCTCGACAGCCCGAAGGCCAATCCCTTCTTGCAACTGCATTTCCCCTTGCCCACACCCAGGTAGAAATACAATCTAGGCAGATGCAAACCGGTGAAACTACTGATCATCTCAACAACCCTGTGTTCAACTCAAGTAGTCTCACTCAAAGAACCGGCCAAGATCTAATCCTGATCAAATCAGTATCACCGGATTTATCAAGCAACCAACTGTTCAGGGACCTTGCACCGCCTCATTTGACCTTGACTTCGGGTGCATCTTTAGAATCGGCACCGGGGCCTTCGCAAATTACAAATGGACCGATCCCACCAAGCGTTCACCCAGACGGGACGTCTTTTGCTCCGCAAGGCGGTCTCGTCATACCTGCGCAAACCATTTTCCGAACGAGTGATGGAAAGATTCAATTTCATAATACAGTCCGAATCTCTGGTGGCCTTGCTTCTAAGCCTAAAATCAAGGCAAAGGCCAAGTCGCCGTCCCTAAAACCGCCTTCAGACCGTAGAATCACTCCAGACCGCAAGCGTTCGATGGTAGGTAAGAGTAGAGGATCAACTTCGCCTTCACCTCTGCGGAATGTGAATGGCGATTTTTCTGGACTTGAATCCAGAACCATTGATCGGCGTGCTATCCAACCTTCGTCTTCACGAAGTACTATCTCAACATCGCCCGGTCATCAGTCTCTCCTGTCGCGGTCTCAACCTCGTTCACCTCCGCCCTATCCGGCGTCTATGCAGAGGTCCCATCTCACACGTCATCCCTCTGGCTCCGCATCGCTGAGAAGGCCATCGCTGTCAGACTCGATCAGTGGCTCTTTCATGGCCTCGACTATTGCTTCTCGGTCAACATCACCAGCTAGCAGCATCTATGCTCCTTTGAGAGTTCCCCATGTTCGTGCACCAGCGCCCTTCTTCGGACCCACACCGGAGCGAGTAGCACGCGTCAGGGAACGACGCAAAGTCGCTGAACGCAATGCAGAGCGAGCTAAAGGTGGTTGGAAAGCATGGTGGAATAACTGGTTTCATCAATCAGATGACTCAACATTGCGGAAAGGCAAGATGGCCTCAGGTCATCATCACGAGCACCATCATTGCCCTAACAACAACCAAGAAGTTGATGAATATGACGAGGACTCTGATGACGGCTCTTGTTATCATGATGTCGTATTGGAGCACGAGCGAAGCAAACTTGAACGACGTCTCAAAAAACTTGATCGAGCTGCTAATAAAACACGACACTTGAATTCATCATCGCACTCTTCACATCCAAAGATCACCAGTAGATCTGTCGATAATTCGGGCAAGTTCTTTCAGGGATGGTCGGGACGAGGATCAGTTAGCAAGCCTACGACACAAGCCTCTTCACATTCAGATAGTCCAACACCGGTCCAGCCACTTCGTGGTATCTTACATAACAACGTAGATCCTGTGAGTTTTTACTGGCTTGTTACATACTCCCTTTCCATGTATGATCTCTGTTGAGCTCAACCGTTGATGAGTGTTGTTCTGACATGTCGCTTCATCTTTCAGTCCTCTCCTAATGCACAAACACCACTCTTAGGCGCAACCCGAACCTTGCCGCGTTATCTGAATCAAGACGGGACAACTACACTTCAATCCCCGCCACCACCCAAAACTGAAACAGACGTTAGATTTGGTAAAGCACCTGGTCGTTGGTTCAAATTAAGTTGGATGGCTTGGAAGATCAAGACGATCGTTTCTGGCTTCTTTAAGTCTACTCGTGATAAGTTTGTAGATTTGTTTCATGTAGATTGGGATACGGATGATGAACATTATGAAGGATGGGAAAATGTTTGAAGATTGAAAGGTTTGGTTTGTAAACAAGAAGAAAAACTAAAAAAAAGGAATCAAAATCAAAATCGCAGTGATTCACGATGGACGTTTCGTCTGTTTCTTTGTTGTTGTTGTGGCTCTAATTGTATCATAATATTCTTAACCTTCGTTTCTGTTTGCTCCCTATATCGTACGAATTTTTTTGCTCAATTCTTAGCAGTTATCGCATTCTTAACCTAATCTTTTTTTGTCGCATTGTTTCCTCTACACATCTTATCATTGTTCTCACCTGTTTGTTTGAAGCATTTTCCATTTTTTCTCATTTTTTTTTGTACACACATTTACATAGTTTCAAGAGACGGAGAACACAAACTTCGATATGATGAATGCGAAGATTCAGGTGACATTCGAAAGTTGGATTTAGAATTCATCGATGATATCCAACCTCAACAAAGTCAAGGGAAGTTTGAGACAAATAGGGTAATCAGTCATCAATTTAACGGCTTTGAAGGACGAAGGCATTTTCATCATACCTGTTATTGTTATTCAAGCAAACTCTGGATAGGTCTGGCTTTTTTAGTGCTCTGTTTCTTTTTTCTTCTCTACAAATCTTACACGCCAAGTCAAATCTCTTCACCCAAGATAATGTTGATATGGACCTCGACATATTTATGATTATGGCATCATTGACGGCGTCCCATGCAAACCAGACCCTCAAGAAACCTCTGGGCTTAAGAGTGGACGCGGCCGCGCGAGGGGCTTAGTTGAGCTTGAGCTCCCGTCTTTCCTAAGCACTCTTTTATTGACCCAGACTTCAAATGGGTTCTGCAAGAGTGAGCCCATTTGGACAGCAAGAGATAGTGTGCAAAATGTGCCGTTACGAAAAAAGAAACCTGCGACTGGGAGTCGAACCCAGGTTACCAGGACATCACAGGAATTTCAAAACCTGGTGTCCTAACCACTAGACGATCACAGGATCAGTGTGAATCCCACATTGATGGCTACAATGTGAAATGTGCTTCATACAGCATCCCTGTCACTGAACTAATGAACACTTTCTCACATGTCACCCACTTGCAACTTCACAAGTGGCCTGTAAGCGCGCGAACCTTTTCTTACTCCAAGAACCGGATCCACTACAGATATCATTATCATCGTCAAGAAATGGCATCTCGTCTGATAAATTCATTAGGAAAGGTAATAGTCACCATCTCAGCTGCTGTATGCATGGGTACCAAGATCTAACCCAGTGGTTTCGTTTTACGGTTTGGAAAAGTTGACAGGACCATTGTTGGCAGGAGCATTGGTTGGACAAGCCTCGATTTATGATGTGCCAGGTGGAAATCGGGCCGTACTTTTCGATCGATTCTCAGGAGTGAAAGACCGAGTTGAGTAAATCCTCGGTGAAAGGATGTTGGGGAGGATCTGCTTAAGAAATAGTTTCATGACTAATGCATAATGAAGGACTCGTATAGGCGGTTGATGAGGGAACACATTTCTTGATCCCTTGGGTTCAGAGAGCGATTTTATACGATGTACGTATCAAGCCTCGAAACATTGCTACCACTACGGGCTCTAAGGATCTACAGACGGTGAGCTTAACATTGCGAGTGATGAGGTCAGTTTACCCATTGACTTTTATGCGTGATAAATTGAGGCTGATTTGATTTGGGGCGATATAAATTCTTAGTCGACCAGATGTTAGTAAATTGGCTCAGATATACCGAAGCCTCGGTCAAGATTACGATGAGAGAGTATTGCCATCAATCGGGAATGAAGTCTTGAAAGCCATCGTAGCTCAATTCGATGCCGCCGAATTGATCACACAGCGTGAAGTTGTCTCGGGAAGGATCAGAGAGGATCTACTGAAGCGTGCATCTGATTTCAATATTGTCTTGGAAGATGTCTCGATTGTTGAGTCTTTCTCTGATCATTGAATGAAGTAGATTTGGTGGAGAGAGTCTAATTCTTTCATCTTTCTTGGTGGGGTATGGTCAGACACATATGACCTTTGGAAAAGAGTTCACACACGCAGTCGAGGCCAAGCAGATTGCCCAGCAGGAAGCTGAGCGGGCGAAATTTATTGTTGAGCGATCAGAACAAGAACGTCAAGCTAGTGTGATTCGCGCAGAAGGTGAAGCTGAGGCGGTAAGTTTTTGCTCTGCATATCTTACCACGTCCAAGGCTAATCAAACTCCGTTATCATTATTTATAAAACAAAATCAAAAAGGCCGCCACGATTTCGAAAGCCCTTGATCGAGCTGGTGAAGGATTGGTTCAGTTCCGAAAGATTGAAGCCGCTAAGGAGATTGCAGCTACGTTGAGTAAGAGCAAGTCGGTACAATATATCCCATCAGGTGGTGCAAATGGCGGAATCTTGTTAAATGTGGATGCTCAGAAATAGTGGGGAAGTCAGAGGATTCAAGTCATTACGATGAGTCGTTTGATTTTTCAATGATGTATCTTAGTTGAACTGGGTTTAAAAATGTGTGATCAGATTCAAAATTCTACACTTGGTTGAGAAAAAAATGTTACCAAAACACAATGACAGATTATCCCCACGAATTCCCATTGTGAACTCATAAGCTGATGTATGCGGTCACCCACAGCGTTAATCAAAGGACCCTCATCCATTCTTTTCCTTCCTGTTTCGTGGCTTGAAGTAAATACATCACAACACAAACAGGCATCACTTCCCTTTGACCTCATAGTTAACTGGTAATACGTCTCCATAGGTCTCCATAGCACCCCTAGTTTGTGTCGTTTGCCTAAATGTTCGCAGGGTTCTTATTATGTGAGGACGCATTCCAACTTTCCCCTTCGAGTGATAAATACTGTGATCCAGGCAAACTTGCACTCCAATTCGAGATGTACTTTTGAGATGTGCTCAAAAGGGCAAGGCTCCACATCGTTCACTCTAGTTCGACCGTATACTACCAAGGTCTCAAAGGTAAGGTCTCTAATTACTCACTGTACACCTCCAGATATCCAACCTTGACAAGTTGACCCGATGCCACGCAAGAAGCAGGAGTGGACCACAAGAAATCAGAGTGTGATTGCTTTGACTCAAGGTTTAAGCAAAGCATGCGCCTTATGACGTTGCCGATTCTTCTTTCGCAGCTCCATTAAATTGTGAGGATTTGGACATCCACGAAACTCTATCATTTACACACCCACTACTGGAAATTGTGAAAGCTCTGGTTAATCCAATATTCTCATCAGTTGCTGTTCTGAAGTTTGCAGCTGGTTTGGAATGGAAGTCAAACTTTGGCACAAAAATTATCTGGGCTTCCCCGGCAACTAATCATCAGACGCTTTGAGTGAAGGTTGAAGCTCCAAATTTCCACTTAAGCTGCCTTTTTTTCTGATAAGCTGAAGAGAGACCTTGGGTGGCAAGTTTCGGTAGTCTTCCATGCCGCAGTGTACTTCAGAGGCACTGGGCTTGATTATGCAGTGTCCGAGTAGCGAAAACGTTGCTTGAGATCACTCACGCTGCCGCATCGTCACGATGACTGGAATCGGATGCACTGTTCTCGGAATTAAGAATGATCGTCGATGATGTTGTTGCCAACCTGGACCTGCAGGAGCACCGAAAGACGACGTTGAAGAACTTCGACCGACTGACATGGAATGATTTGACTCCTTGATCTCATCACGAATTGAGATTGAGTTGTACAAGGGGTTGAGGTAGGGTTCGGCTGCCAGAAGCTAGTATGGGCTAACCGTCATTCAGACAGTTGACGCTACTCCTCTGTTCTTTACGACCGCTTCTTCCCTTTGTCAGCCTGGACAACCTGGACAACTTTCACCATCACATTTTGCTTCGCCTGGGAGGGATCTCACACGAAAATTGATTGGATTCTTAACTTGGTCTCACTTGACAAAGGTGACTTTGATTGAACTCTCTCGGCTGACGATTAAGCTTAACTGCTGACGATCATATGGGAACGATAATAATCGTCACATCTCTCAGACTCAGATTGCTGTTAAACATTAACAGTTGAACTTATATATTAAATTATCTCTTGGTCCTTTACTTTGTTGCTTCGACATTTTGTCTATTCTACCCATCGTCACTTCTCGGAAGTTAGGTGCTCCAACATTTCATTTTGACTCACTATAGTCTTTCACTTGGCTTTGTTCCAAATTTCTATTTACTCTCATTTGCCTTACAAGTCAGCCTGGTAAGGTAGTACCACTCCAAGTCATATACTATTTCAAATCGTCAGTTCGATTTCTTTATCACCAATCTGATGCTTCTCACTTTAGTCTCGTTTTGCTACGACAAAAGAATCATACCACAACTGACCTCGCAATCTACTGCTATTCACACAGGACCTTGTTGTAGCTCGAAGCTCAAACGAGCAGAATTTACCCATACCGAACATTGTTCACTGTAAGTTTTTACCCTATCTATATTATCCACTCTTAACCAGCTTTCCACAAGCCTCCGAATCCACCCTTGTACCTCGATACTATAAAGTATCCTCCAGAGGAACACTTCGATAGGCCCAACTGACATCTTCCTTGAATTTGTCTCGACTCGCTTCGTTATCCCCTAATCAGTTCAGATTTAACAATTCCTCAGTTCTTATATTGCATTACAACACATAATGCTCAGCTCAAGCCATCTGCGTCAAATCATCCTGGTTGCTGGGCTATTGACAGTCGCCACTGTTCATGGATGTCATCATGACCTTGTGCGACGTCAACGAACGGATACTTGGGAATCCGCTGCCAGTGTTAGCGATCCGGCTGCTGAATGTGCACCATACAGTTATGCTCCTGTTCAAGCCATGGTCTGTTCCATTTCCCTACTCTTTCTCATTTTGACTTGCCTTACCTCGGCGGGCTCTTGCAATCATTTGTGGAAATTTTACTTTGCAAGTGTTTACATACTTGTTCCTCATATTTCAACCTTGGCTTATATCAGGTCAAGAGCTATCCAACGATTTGGGAAATTGCCAGCGTTTCTCGTGAGTCTTGAACTCATTTGCTCCTTGGCGGCTCAATTTGAATATGTTACTCCATTCTTTTGTAGAACCCGGAATCGATCCACTTGCCTCTACTCTCTTCAACCAGCTTTCACCTAGTATACCCAATATCAAAGTCAAGGGTACTCCCACTGGTGACTTCAGTGCTTCGAACACTACCTACTCTCGCTCTGATCCGGACTGCTGGTGGACATTTTCAAACTGCACCACGCCGAAACTTGCTGGCTTGGTACACGACGTCGCATCTTGTCCTGAACCTAATACTTGGGGTGCGTCCCGACCATTCATCCTATAGCCCCCCACTTTACAAACCGCCGTCTGACCAGTTGACCATTCTCCTTGTTGGCAGGCTTGTCGATCGACGATGGACCAAATTGCTCTCACAGTTGCGTTACTTCACGATGCTTACTACAAACCCGTCGCTTTACTCATTTCCTACGTATCAACCTTCCACAGATGCGTACTACGATTTTTTGCGTCAATCAAATCAAAAGGCCACTTTGTTTTACGTTGGATCCAACGTCATTGATTGGCCCCTCGAGGCTCAACGTGGGCTTGCTGACGGTCATGAGATCTGTGCCCATACCTGGTCCCATCGATACATGACTGGTCTTACCAACGAACAAGTGTTTGCAGAGTTATACTTTAGCAAGAAGATCATTAAGGATGTTCTCGGGGTGACAGTCCAATGCTGGAGACCCCCATTCGGAGATGTAGATGACCGAGTTCGATTCATTGCCAATGCACTTGGGATGTCTACAATACTTTGGGACAATGACGTCAATGACTTCGTGAGCTCCTCTTATCCCCATTGACAACTTGTAAGTCCTTGTATCTGGCACATTCTAACTCTTCTTACCTTCTGTAGAGATATGCGACCCTCGGACAAGCTGTGGTCAACGCCAAGTATCAGGGTATCATTGACGCAGCCTCCAAAGGTGCTTACAGCACTCACGGAACCATTGTTTTGTCACACGAATGTAAGTCCTCTCGGGTTCACGACATACTGGCACACGTGACTGACATCCTGAACTATGCAAAATAGTGAACGCGGATACCATGACAACCAACCAAAATTTCCTGCCCAAAATTTCTCAAGCTTTCAAGTACATCACACCGGTCGCTGTTTGCCAGAATAACTCGCAGCCATATGTTGAAACAAATTTCACATATCCTGTATGTCCTATCGTCTTGCCAGCGTTCGAGATTGCCCCCTACATCACTAATGCATCCCTTGCTTTTCAGACCTTTGCCCAGTGGGTTACAGGAACGAGAGTCGTCACTTTGCAACCACCGGTGGCAATGCCAAACGCACCCTTTGCTTTGCCGATCCAAGTCGGAGCAAGCTCGACCACACCTCTAAACAATGGATATGCAACTTCTACCCCAAGTGCCGCCAACGCAAGCTCACGCAAAAGTGCTGCTTCGACCAATTCTCAACCTGTCATTCTGATTGGTCTTTTCCTTACATTAACAACTGCAATCTTCCTAAGAGTATAGTTTACACACTACTGGTCAAGAATAATAAACCCTTTCGCGTATCTCAAAATGCTGTTCACTTCCTAATCTTAGATCATATCTACTATTTTGAACATTTCTTCCGCTTGACATCTCATTACTCTTATAGTCCCATCACATAGTAGCAAAACCACTTTCACTTATACAATTTTACAATTATTTACCACTTTTTTATCTTTGCTTTTGACTCTTTCCTCTATTCATATCAGGTATTAGGACATATTCTTGATAGACGTTTTTGAAATATCATAAGTTGAATGCTGTGTTTTTTAGTGTCACATATGTAACATTGAGTCCATTGGTCACAGCAGGACTTTGACCAATCTTATCTAAAAGTATCCTATAATTTACCTGTTTGCACACAATCAATATCTGAAAATGGCCTGAGCCAGAAGGTACTAGGGACATGTATTTTTATAACCCTTGACTTCATGGCTGCATGCTTCCATGACTGCAGGGCATATAGAGGACAGGAAATGTAATTGAGTGTGTGTTTGAACAAGAATATAGGGGCCTGAATCCTTTTCTCTTGAGGGGAGATGCAACACCCAACTGTTGTGGTGTGGTGTGCTGCAAAGGGCTCAAACACTGTGAAAAAAGCTGTGATCCTTGGGATCGCCAGTGCAACACAAAATTCAATTGAAGGGAATACAACACAGTTGGAGTGTGCAGTAGATGTTTCAGGTAAAATAGCAACACACATGTTATCACAAGTACCTGGTCCCAGGAATCAACAGTTTTGAGTACTGTACAACATGTAGTCATCACAATTGGTCCAGTGATGACACACAATAAGTTGGAATGATACAAGTGATTCTTGAGACTCAAGGGATCTTATAATCTATCACCATAAGCTAGCCCATGCTATCCAAGCATTTTCAATGTACCCCCAAGTTATGAAGATTTATCATCTATACCTTACCTAGATATACTCTGAGCGATGTGGTGATGGTCTAGAGAAACAAATTTAATTAATCTTTGATTTTCTGGGGTCAAGAAATTAGCAGCACAAAATTCAAGGTTGAACTCCCAGAGTGTGGCCTTTGGCCTATCCTCTTGATAGAACATTGGTGAAGTTCTTCATTGACATCACCAGGTAAACCATGTATATGTTCCCAATCCTCATTCACTTCTTATTGCTTGACTTCTTGGCACCAGTCTGCTGGGCCATTGTTACATATTTTTTTGTGGTATCATTAGTTTGGGCAAATATCACTTTGTCTTGAAGTTGAAATGACATTGACACCAATGTAGTTAATGCCAGTACTCCTGACCAAGTTGACACCTTCCAGCCCATACAGTGTGAATGATCCTCTTATCTAATACCAATCCCTTACCATTTTAAAAGGACCCGCTCTCTCCCAAAAAGACCCCCATTCTGATCAACATAAATATGCACCCTGTGTAATCCACAGAGTGGGTTTGGCCAAGGGATCATTGGGCACAAGTCACACTCTGCCAAAAAAAATTTGTGCTCTTCTGGTAGCAATATCAGTGATGCCCCCTTTTTGAGCCTTCAAGTAACCTTAGATGAGCTTATACCATACATAGGCACTTTATTTGCATGCAGGACCACTTGGACCCTACTAGTAGTCCCACTTCTGGTGATTTATTGATTTTCATTTGTATTTTTTGTTGTCGTGTGTGCTTTACCACCCTAGATAAAGCAAAATAATTGCTGTAAGGATTTGAAATCAATCTTTGCACCAATCATTTCTCAACTGACAGTGAGTTGCTCAATCATGTAAAGTCACTTGATAAGATTGTCTTGCCTTATTGTCAGAGGATGAAGTTTCATCTGCCTATTCACAAAATATTGGTATATTCAATCATCTCATTGTGATATTTTTCCAGGTGTCAGTGGGCATTCCAAATATCCCACCACTTGAAATCACCAAAAACCCAATATCAAAGCTATCCATAGCCTGTCCTGAAAGTCAAGCATATACATATAATTCCTCTGGCAGGATCTCAATTGTTTTCAATGGTAGGCCTTGGCCCAGTCAGATACTGTGCACTTTGATCATCCAGTATCCTCCTGACAAAAGCTAGCCACCAGAAGTTGTCCCAATGAATGCTGTGATACACTTGTTTGAGGGTTTTGAATGTTGTTGACTGTGTGACATCATTCATCAAGCAAGGGTACTTATTCCCTCTTGCTGTATTCCCCATCAGATTTGACTTGAAGGATTCATAATGTCCAAAGACTGGTTTGTGAGTCAAAGGTCCTAAAATCTTCTTACTCTAGCTCATCTTCTGGTGTTATATTCATTTATTTTAGTGCCTCTAGAACCAAGGCATGGTTCTGTGGTGTGAATCTCCTCAGAGACCCAAATGTAAGGTGATCTTTTCTAGACCCTGCTACACCATTGCTCACCTAGTGAGACACAAATTGAATGACCCAAGATGAGCTCTGATAGTCTCATTCAACTTCAACAACACAATTTGGAAGATAAGGCTAAAAGGATCTGACTACAAAACCTTTGGCTGCTGTTGTTGTTAACAGGAGTACAAAAGTGATTTTCTGAAACAATTGGAATTGTTTTTTGTCTCCACATTGATCCATACTTTACCTGCTAAGCCCTCATTTATGGTTCATGAGAAAGGTCCTGCAAAACTATACACCCATAATGGGTTTTGAATGAATCAGCTGTATACAAGACGGCTCTGTTTACATCAAAGGAGGCACATTGCTTTTTATAGTTACATATCTACCCAACTCAGACTTTTACTTTTAAGCTGGCTTGTATGGTATGTAGATGGATGTCCAACCATGTGACTGAAGCAATTCCACTCTTTCCTGTACCAAATCTTAGAGTATCCACAGTGGTCCACCTATTGTGCTGGCTGTTGTACATTTAGGAGGCCAAAACACAAAAAGCTGCTGCAGCAATGCTTGAAAATGTCAATGTTGGACATCAAGAGTCCCCAAATTTTGGACAACAGTCTCCACATCTGGGAGGTCCCTATGGGCTCTTGACATTGCATGCAATCACTACCTATACACAAAATATTTCTGAAATTTTGACTCCAATCAATTGATATTAGAGGGGAGCATAATCAAACCCTTCAATTGAAATCTTTCACCCAAATTTGAGTGTTCCGCTGTGAACACACTGGTTTCTTTACCCTCCACAACTGAAGAGCATGGCTGGGGTTCAGCCGCAACCCCTCACAATATGTGGACTGTCATGGATGCTTGTAGTCATTAGTAGGTTCCAGTATGGGTTAGCTGAGAGTATATGTTTAAAAATTGCCATGGGTACCACTTTTCACGGCTGAGGTATGCTAGAACATGGTCAATTTCACAGAAATATAAGGGTAGGGGTGAGAACCCCTAACCCCCTGAAATTATACACGCATTGTGGACTCCTGCTCTTAGCTCATTCTCCTTTCACAATTGTCCTCTTCTATTTCTATCCTTGGATGTCTCTCCATAGGTTAGCTTAACACAAGCCCTCTCTGTGCGGCCATGTCCGCGCGCCTTGCAGAGGGGCTTGTGACTACTACCTTTGTTAAAAAGCTTGCCCGGGTCTGAGAGACAAGAGAAGTCGAATTTGGCCGCAGCCTGCTGCAAAGCCCCTGCGCAGCTCAAATCCAAAATCTGCCCAATCACAGATTTTCAAGTAGATCGACTCGATCTGCTCATCTTTGGCTTTGGGATATCTTGAGATCGATCATAAAGCACACATAACTAGCTCCCAATGATCAAATCGAGCATACAGCTGGTTTATGCAACTCCTGTCAGGCTCCGAGTGTGATCAAAACTTGCTTTAGTTTGCCGACATAAGAGCAAAGGTGGTCGAATGGCATAATGATGTCTGAGTGTTGGTATATATTTGGGCTTGCTGGTGTGGGTTCAAGGCTGACTGCTTGACTCTTTTTTGCTAAAATTTTGAACTGAGATCGAGATTCACATTTTGTATATGTGTCAGTGTGATCATTGTCCTATCATAACCTTACTTGAGCTCTGGACTGGGCAAGAAGAATGAAAAAAAAAATTGTAAAAAAAAGACTTGTCATTTTTCAACGAGACCAAAATGAAAAAGCATAAAGGAACACGCAGGCTTGAACACGTTAACATCGAATTCAAACCTCGCAGATCACTGAGCCAGACCACTACACCAGATAGACTGTGAACAAAGAGTGCTGTATGTACATACCCCATATCATCAAATGAAAGTTGGGCTCTGCTGTATGATTGATTGGGTCTTACCAAGCTCTAAATATATTGTAAGTATAGTTATAATGAGTCTCAGAATGTCTCAAAGACAGAGACAATCAGCTCAAGTCAACTTTGTTGGAAAATTGTGACCAGCCAAATTTGGAATCTTCACGCGCTGCGCAGCGGCCTTGCAGCAGGCTGCGGCCAAATTTGACTTCTCTTGCCTCCAGACCCGGGCAAGCTTTTTAGCAAAGGTAGTATTACCTTTGCTAGAAAGGTTGACACCTTGGGCCCGTTTTTTTTATTTTTTTCAGCTGCGCCCGCAGCACTGCGCCGCAAATGTATCCTGATTCATTCAAAATCAGGCGACAGGGAATTTCGTCACCTTCGTTGCCGCTTTGGTTCACTTCAACACCGGTGCCTGCCAATCAACACCTCAATCAAGATGTTCCATCAAGCCTTATAACATCACCTCTATGCCCGATCCTGCAAGACGTTCTCACAAGCTTCATCAAATCGACTCTATCTCATTTTTTGTTAAAAGTTTCTCATTTAGTCGTTGTGTTCTCTTGTTGTAGTGAACGATCCTCTGAAATTAATCATTTGCTTTGAATCAAGGAAAATTATGAGCCAACTCAAGATGATTTGGAAGTAAGATAGGAGGAAAAAGACACTTTATCTTGAAGCTTGTTCCTTGTGAGACCAAAACAAAAACTTCATTTATAATTTCAAAGACTTTGTAAGGTACCCGGTATCAAACTTGCTCAAATAGCCATCAACCTCCTCAATCTCATCCATCCATCCTCAAGACAATTCAATCCAGTTTCATCATACATATTACAATCTAACTTTCAACTTTTATCCTTTACATTTACATTGAAACTTCATCCACATCAACATGTTATCCATCATGGGGTTCTTGCGTTCTTA